TTCTTATTTACATTGAATATTGGTCTTTAATCTCAGTTAACTTTAAAAAAGAAAAATATGCCATCATTTATATTCATGTTTTTTATTAATATTGACTATAACCATCGATGCCTCTCTGTGATGTGTCGTCTTTTACCTTTTGATCCTCTCTTGTATTTGTTTTCTCCCTCTCAGCCTTTATCATCTGCCTCGGCTTCAATTAGTAATTTCTTACATTTCCCAGGATGCCTTTCATATGAAGAACCTGCAGTAATTAAACTGCGTTCTTCTACTAATAACAAGGGGGAAAAAAGATGTGCCACCAAACAGGGCTATTTTAATTGATGACAGATTTGCTCTTAGAAACCACACAACAGCAGCTGCCTGCTGTTTCTGATAATTAACTTCATTTCAATCAACTGAGAAGAAGCTAAAGCTTGAATGATAGAAGGTTGTGAGACCACTGCAGCAGCTTGATGCTTCTTAAGAATATTAACAGATAAGGAAAAAAAGACTTTGTAGTTTGATGACGGTTATACGTCAGTCTATTGCTAAACATATAACTTAAAAAGAAGCCATGCTCTATAGATAAGGAAAAGTGAGATTAAACATTTAGCAGGAAGAGTATCTTGTAATTTGAAAAGGGAACCAAAACCTCAATTTAGATTTAATCTGGAAAAAGGTGGATGACATGAAAGCTCCCAAAAATTAAGCAAAAACATCTTTAACACCCCCTGGTGGCTGACTGGAGTATAAATTATAAACCCCTCCTCCTCCATGTAAGTGGAAAGGACATGGACCAAACCAAAAAGTCAAAATATGCATCAAATACATTTTTTCTCGAATATGGTTACTGTCATTGTAGTTATCATACTGATGTATGTTCAAGTGTAAATGTTTTTAGTAAGATTGGTTTTATTTAATACAATGAAAATGGGGTGAAACCTCATGATCGACAGTTGAGACGGACTCATGATTTGTTGAGCGTGTCCAGCGACAGGACTTCCTTCCTGCTCCACAGTACATTCTTTACTGCACAGACTCAAAATGAGGCCAAAAGTGCAAGATCGCGTCGCAGTATCCGGAATAGTTTCACTACATTTTTGTGCAACCGGTGGAAGTGGAGACATCGTTACATCTACGTCTATGATTGAACCTGGTACCCTTTCCCAGTTAGCCAACCCTATTCATTGATTGGACAATCAGGTGAAACTGCTTCAGGTTATTTCATTTTTTTGTTCCTGGTCACGTAATGTGGTCTCTGATTCAGTGTTCCTGCACTAAATCTTGTAAAACTTTGCAAAAAATAGGAGCTGAAGTTGTGTCTGTGATTTCGATTATTTCAGAAAGTTAACAGGCTTGTTAATCTTGCAGCCTTGCTCGGATAAATGATTGGCTTGACAAGAAAGTAATTTGTTGTGTGATTGTAAATCTTCAGTTGGTTCCCCTGCAGGGATCCCTTCAGCTGCAGTGTTCTAACTGTCACAGTGAATTTATTGGCTAATGCTTTATTAAGCAACTCTGAACAGCTGAACAGAAACAAGAACACATACTGAAACTTTCATTAAGGTCAACATTAACGTTTTAATCCACAACATTTGTATTGGTCTCAATTGTATCACACAGCATTGCAGTGGTCTGACAGCAGCTCCTAAACAAAGAGATAAATATACATGAGTTTTTGAGTATCAATAATGCCTTCACATAGTTAAAAGCAAGTTAGTCTCTGGTCTTATAAAAGAACATCATTTTTGTGTTTGCTATGTAGTCATTATGAATGAAAGATTTGAAACATGAAATATTGTGGGCTCTTTAATCCCTGAATCTCTTCCATTAAAATCTCTGCATTCTGTTTTTTTCAGTAACATGCTGCTAACACCCTTTCTACTGCTTGTCACATCCATTCCAACATTAGCATACTGTGGGTTACCTTTTGTAAAGCTTCCTGTTAAGGAAACTGTAAATCTTTTAACAACAGTGCAGAGGTTAGTATGGAAGTACATCACAATAACAAAAAATGCTCATCAAAATGCTCAGACATTATGAATTGTGATAGAGGTAATAGCAGTAAAATGACGGCAGTTTGCTTCTATACAATTGAACAATAAAAAAGTTGGGGATTGTTACATTAAGTTTTCACTGTCTCAGACAAATAGCACAAAACTAAACACTTTTGCTCAGTATTTTTTTCCTTATTGAAATTTCACTGCTACAAGCCACAGCTACATTTAATCAAAAGATCATAAGCACATAATGTCCTCTGTAAACACTCATGACACAGGATCGACTGCTGCAATAAAGCAACATTTAGCAGAATACATCAGTACTCACCACGGCAGAGCTATGAAAACCTTCTTACAGTTAGAAATGTGTGATATAGAATTTTAAGGATTTATTGAAAGTACCAAAATAATTTTCATTTTAGCAGTTTGTTTGAAGGACAATTCAGGTTATTTTCAACCTGAGGTCAAAAATATGCAGTGAAGGCTCAGGTTGAAATCAACGAATTACCCTTGAAAGAAAAAGCAAAGAATATTTCATAGTCATCACTTGAAAAAGTGAGGCACACACTGTTCTGTACATTCAGACAAAACTTGTACACTTGAACACATCAACACATACAAAATATTGAACCAACTTCAGTAAAAATAAGTCTACAGTTTAAATTACATGACACTATAATGCACAACAACGTTTTTGTCTTCACATTCTTTAGTAAATACTTTCATGAAGTCTTCAAACAAAAGTTGGAAAGAACTAAAACATTTTAAATCTCTATGATTTTGATTTTTGGTGGATAAGATTCAAGCTTGAATTTTTTTTTTTAATGACATGACAAAATGAAAGTCATTTGTTAATCAACATGTATAATAAGATCCTATCACTAACTATCAAAACTATTTAGCTTTTACTGCTACTGGCAACCACATTAGTTTAAAAAACATATCACAGAATCTTTTGATAAGGTCACGAAAGTTAATATATTATTTCCCAGCATTGAAAAAAAAGAGATCTCACAAACATGATACATTTTTTTCACCCTTGTTATTGGTCATGTCTGTGTTGCTGCGTCAGATTTTAGCTACAATCTATAAAATCCTTCCTGTCACATTTTTTCCACGGTTGTAAACCCAGCTGGACACAGGCTGCATTATTGCTTGGGTCTTTTTTCGGCACATAGGCCTCAATTTCAACAATGGATCCAAATAGTCTAAAGCCCATTGTATGTCAGTCATGTCCAGACTGTACCAGGCATGTGGCTCCAAAAAGTTCTATTTTGTCTTTTATTTAATCATAGGTGTGTTTTTTGAAAACTTGAATAAATCACTCAGAGTGCCATCGCTCCCAGGTTTGCTTGCACATTGGTGGACAGCTATTATGCAATAACCTGATGGTAAGAAAAAACCCTTCTCTGCAAGAAGTTTAATTTTGTACACACGTGTATGCACATATTTAAATCTTTAATATGTGGAGAATTAAATAAATGCCCTTGCAATACTGTGCCACTGACGTCCGACTAAAGTTTGGTTGGTCACCAACACCTAACTAATGAGCACGTGCTCATGGACGCTCAGAGGTGATTCTCTATCGAAACAACATGGATGTGACTATACCACTGTGTCAGTCTGAAACTAGCAAGGTCACTTTCTTTATGCTTGGCTCAGTTTTGCACTGGGTGCAAAATAAGACCCAGGATGTGCAGTCACACAAGGAGCTGATACAACCCAGGATTAACAGCACTATGAAAACTAAAGCCAACAACAGTAGCCAACAATGTCCTACTCGTGTACTCATGTATTGTATTTAAAAGTACATTACAAAACACTAGAACAAACATTAAGAACATTTCACTGCACAGGTACCTTTATTTTTTATCCTTCACTTAGATGAAATGTCAAAATTGATGGACACTGCTCCACTAGTTGGTTAATTTGCTTTTCAATCCTCTAATTCTCCAGCAACCGGTTCCTTCATGCTACAAATGTACATTGGATTTCGCCTCTGGCTCGTCACCAGTTTTTCAGGAAAAACGTTCTTTCCTACAGTTACGTAACCAAAAGCCAAACCCTATTTCAATACATTCAGAGAAACTCAGACAGCAACATGGTGTATGGTGCAAAACTTCTCAGGGTGAACCAGACGCAGAGTGCATCCTCTGAATGAAATAATGAGTGAGTACTTACAGGTGGAAATGAAAACAATTGTGCACTTACATAATTACAATCGCTGTGACGTACATGTCGTTTCAGATTATGCCCTTTTACATTCCAGCATGTATAGAGTCAAAGCAGAACAAATTAATGTCATCATCTATCGACGAAATCTTGTGATTGAAGTGCGCTGACTACATTAAAATACTAATTGCAATCAAAGCTAAATGATGAATTTATTAAGACAGAAAAAGCCCTGATGGGATAAGAGGAATACTTGAATATGTAGCTTAAAGGGAAAGCACCTGAAATACCCTGTTCAAAGTCGAGTGTGTTGTTAAGGCTGCTCCTGAGTGTGGACAGATAATGAGACGACCTGTGGGCACAGACATGGAGCGAGCCCTAATCCCACCTCAGAACACCACCACCCCCTCACACACACTAATCCCAGTCACTAGCATTCATTGTGTCTTCGTCTCTGGTTTGTTGACCTGCTCACCTCTCTGCAGATATCATTCATACAAAATATTATATTACTATAGACTATATTATAGTATATTTACATAAAGTGGAGCAATTCTGATTTTCCATACGTATTTAAATGGCTTTACTTATTTCAAGTTAATTTGACTATATTCAACATACTGTACAACTGTACAATGTCGGGGAAAGGTGATTAAACAGGGTAAAATAGATAATGGGTTACGCACATATAAGGAGATTTTTAATATTAAAGGATGATGGGTGAAAATGAAAAGATAATGAAAGTAGAGCTGCTTTCAGACATGCATCAAACACCGGATTTCCTCCTGGAATTGTCCAAAGGGGCTGCATGTGACAACGCAATTGTTTGAATCAGTTTCTAATGACATTTTCCAGAGTTTCTCCCCGGCCCCCAAGTAACAACTCCAGAGAGTGTACCCATGTGAGAATACAACAGGAAATTGCCTTGAACATTTCCAGCAAGCGAGTGCGCAGGCGTGTTGATGACATTTGTAACATACAATGGATGCAAGAAAAACATCACCAAAACAAAATAATAATAATAACACAAATATCTCAGGCAGAGAAAGAAGAGCCGTACACGTAGGAAATGACGAAGATATCAACTTGCAAAGACATGAGTGCAAGATTTGCTGTTTGTGTGCTGCAAACCAAAAACGGGGGGATTTCCACAGCAGAATATATACGTCATGTTCTGTCTCCTTTATGCTTTCTTCTTATGTAAAAGGGAATAGCCAGAGAAAGTCTGGGCCCAATTGCTGAACATTTTCTGGAGTGTCTGAAAACAGCTTAGTCAAAGTCACTTAAAACAGAGGCTTTAAGAACCACAAGCCCTGAGACCCCTGGGCCTGTTCTGTAATCCATGCATGAGTGTATATTGTATAAACCATGAATCAATAATCTTCATATCCATATACTAATTTGCTGCATGTTAAAATAATCACGTCAACCTTGATAAAATGCTAAGCAATAACCACATGCACTGTTTGTATGTACAATGTATGATTGTACATATGTATATTTTGTAAATGCACGTGTGTGTGTGTGTGTGTGTGTGTGTGTGTGTGTGTGTGTGTGNTGTGTGTGTGTGTGTGTGTGTGTGCAATGTCACGTCTATGGACAAGCTCCTCAAGAGAACTCCTCGGGTTGGGCGCCTGGAGGACCTCCATTTTGTGTTTTCCCACTGTCGCTGTTCCCTCCGATGATCTCTGTGTGGCGAGACGTGATGTAGCTCCTCTTCCTCGTGGACAGAGAGTGCTTCCGCCCAGAGCCACCACCGGGGCCGGCGTCACCTTCAGCGGGGTCGTAAACAACCACCATGGTGGTATCCATTCGCGACAGCGTGTACATGCTGCTCTGGCGTGTCGGGTGCAGCCGGGTCGAGCGCAGTTCCAGCTCATCGTAGCTGGACACCTTGATGAAGGGGCACCAACGAAACGCTCGCTTGAAGCCCGCTCGAAACCTGGAGGGAGGCAAATGTTGCAAGGTTTCTTTTCTTAGAGGCATAATACACCGAATACTGTACTGTGCCCTATAAGAGATTGCAATCAGATGAGCTTAAGCTGGGAAAACACTGTTACAATGTACATCTGAATGGTTTGCACTGATGAAACGAGGTCAATGGGTGTGGGGGTGCAGTATTTACAGTGAGAGTACTCCACAGTTAACTGGAGGTTAACTGTATTGAAGTTATTTTCCATTAAACATCCCACATAATTGAGAGAAGTAAGGTCACAGCCATTCAGTTATACTGCATATCCAAAAGCATTCTTAAATACAACTTCTCTACATTTTTCAAAAGCATTTCACCATTTAAAAGACAACACATTTGGTCTAATGGATCAAAAGAGAATGGAGGACACAAATAAAGTATTTATTTAGTACATGAGTGAAAATCAGAGGGACACATGGAGTGACTGCAACAACACAACATAATGAAACATTATTTACCTACAAAACCTGATTGGTTTTCCTTTGCCATCTCATTTATTCTGATTTTTGTTCATGCTTGACTTAAAAGCACCATGGAGGGTTTCTCTTTACTATTAGAAGATAATGATGAGCTCTGAACAAAAATAGAAACTACAGCCTTAACGATATGGATGGGGCTAAAGGCGGATACGGATATTAAGGGGTAAAATATATTTTCAAATGCAATGATTCCAAAGATGTCATCATCAAACCCTTATGACAAAGAAATGTAATTGAGGCTTGATATTTTACAGTTTAAACCTTTATTCTAAATTACGCTGAATAAAAACACATGACCTGAATTAAGAAAGTAAAAACATATTTTTCTTGCATAGAATAAATTGACATCTTTTCTGTGTTTATTCTGTATATTACTTTTTCATATTGATGCATATTGGCAAAAATAAAAGCACATACAGATAGCCGACTCTCGTCTCTCATCAGCTGTGGCATCTTGTTGTTTGCTCAAACGTGGGCTTTTATTGTTCCCAGTTGAAGGATTGTCAGGATCCTATTTGCTAATTACAGACATGCTATTGTAGCCACGTCTGTTTCAAGAAACATTCAGGCTATTTTTTATTGTTTTCTACTTGTTCAAAATACAAAAAAATACAAATAAGTCTTATGTCAAAACTTATTTGATAATAGAATTAATTCAACTTTTGATTTTTCAGTCAGTAACAGTGTTGAAGTGGAGCTGTCCTACTGTCTGTAACCCTTTGCTTTTATAAGTTTGTCAACTCAACCCGGTCGGGACCCACCTGCTGTTGAGGCAGCAGTAGATGATGGGGTTGTACATGGTGGAGCTCATCGCCAGCCACAGCACCGACAGGTAAACCTGCTGGATGTTCTTCCACTTGCTCAGACGCTTGTTGAGACCCGTCACGATGAAGTAGACATGATAGGGCAACCAGCAGAGGGCAAAGGTCACCACCACAATGATCATCATCTTCACCACCTGCAAGACAGTGAGAGAGAGAACGAGTTAGGAGACGAGTGGTGTCCATGGAAACGGAGTGAGGGATGTCAGTGTGTAAGCTGGTAAAACCTTTATGGGAAAACCAAATCACTGACTACCCTCTGTCACTGTCTCAGGGAATGTGGTGCATGTAATGTCAGTGATTTCCTGAATTACAGTATTTTAGTTGCACCTGTATCTGGACAAATATGTGTGTGTGTTCCAGATATTACTCATGTTCTTTTGACTTTTCTTCCTTATGGAGACAATAGGAAGTCTCCAGAACGTAAATTGTTAAGTTCTACTTCTAGGTTTGGCCCGGATGACATATGAAAACTTTACCATATAAAACACATTGAAGAACAACAGAAACAATATTACTAAAATCAACCATGAACACTGCTTTTACTAGGATTTATTTTGCAGTTTTTGTACAACTGATCAATCTTTCAGTGAAACAGTCCGTTTTTTTAATCGGACGTGAACTGAATAAACCGCTGTGGCTTCTCTCTGGGTGGCAGCTGGGAACATCATCTATTAAACTGTGTGACTCCTCAGAGACTGGAGGGTTATTCTCCCAGAGACAAAACAGACATCAATGCGTCCTTGCTGAAATATAAACAGAAATCCTGACGTTTACCACATTACATGTACCACGCTGTATACTTTGCTAGGTGGCTGCTAAACAGTGCTGAAGCTCTCAGCCAGTATTTTCTCTGTTAGATTACGCAGGAAGGCTGTTTCTCTAAAGACATGATGGGGGTTTGAAAGTGGCTCAATTGAGTAGGTGAATGCCGTAAACGCTAAAAATTGGTGTGAGTGCAGTGTAAATGTTTCTGTCGCAGGTGACGTACACTTTTACAGCTCCAACAGACTATTACAGCATTTAGGAGGAGAATGCTCAAAAAGGAATGTGAAGGGTCTGATGCACTTATTCAGAATGATATGTCAGTCAAATCAGTCTCTGGCTCTGTAACAGTGAAACCTGATTTTTAAATCTGCAAGTCTGTGGACTGGGATTCAAAAGTACCCGTCCAAATCCCTGCATGCAAACAATTGTAATGTCAAGTGGTAATCAACAGATTTTGTTATATTTTTATCACGAGAATAGCTTATATCTTCTATTCCCACTATTCAACAAAACTGACAATATGTTATTCCAACTGTCAATACCTTTCTAACTTGCCTGGGTAAAAATTAAATACTTTCATTTAAAAAAAAAAGAATACAATAAAATATTTGATCACTATAGTTTTAGAAAACTACATTGCAGACTGTTTAAACACACAGATGTTCTAGCAGGTGTTTATGTAGCATAATGGTGCATGTTGTCATGATAATGAAATGTCATCTACTTCAACATGTAAATGATTTCAGACATGTTTTGGACAGTGGAGCTCTGGGAAACAGACCACACAGGTTATTGGTGTTGGATAATTCACGGGACAGACTGAAGCTAAAGTCATGTTTCTTGTTTATTCACTTTTTCATACGTTGTCCATCATTTGGAGGAATCAAGTTCTTCACTAAACTAAATAACCCGAGGGTAGAAACCACATTAGCTCTTGTGTCTTGTTTTAACTGTTCACATTTGATCTACCAGAGAACTCAATACAATCCATTTAATTTAAGATATATACACGATATTTTGTATGAGGCTGGATTCTCAAACATTTGAAGTACGTGTCGGCTTTACCACAGTCCGCACAGGAAACCTATTGTTTTGACATGTATGTACTTTACATCCCATTATAAAAGTAGTGAACTAATTCCATGTGTTTTAAACAGTCCAGTAGAGGAAAAAAAAAAGTAGGCATGTATTGTATTTCTTCGAGATCTTCAAACCAAGCTAGCAGCACCTTAAATATTATAAATTATTCATCGGCAGGAAAAAATACATGTAGCATTCCTCAAGTATTTTACTATAAAATCAAATACATAAGCGTAAAGGTTTAGGGTGTGATGAAAACATCTAATCCACAGTCTCTTCCTCGTAGATGAGCTCATTAGAGTTTTATATAAACATGATTTTACCATCTCTACGACTATGATGAAATCTAAAGTGATATTGAAATGTAAAAAAAACTCCAGCCATTTTTTTCATCTTAGAGGATAAGAAGAATGTCAGAACACACATTTTTAATGAATAAAGAAAAAGTCATGCATCTAGTATAAAAAACTCACATGAATGACAATATGCAAGTAAACAGAGATTATTAATGGAGCTAATGAGACGTTTTATGATGTGGAATGTGAGGCTGTGGGAATGTTGTCTAATGAGGAGAGTATCAGGCCACAAATGTTGTGTGAAGCCTAATTCCCTTTATCTGTTTAAATGAAACTGGGTTTTAAAATGCACTGATCACTGATCTCATAATGGTCTGACCATACAAGCTCGGGAATGTTTTCAGATGGAACAAAACATGAACATTTTCATTGTTTTCAAGAGATAAAACTGCATAAATAATAAAAACCTGTGAGAGCCAGTGGGACATTAATTAATTAATCATCACTAAACTAAATCTTAAGTGATGATTACATAAATAATCATAATCATGTATTCATGTATGTGTGTCTTAGAGTACCATTGCTTTGTTAAAAATAACACAATAATTAAGAATTATTATTAATGATAAAAAATAAAATGTGATTTAAAACCTATAATGTCGTCTTCTGTCTGCAGAAGTGAAAAAAAAAGGCAACACCCAATTCATTTGCATAAACACGTCAGTGCATTGTGCTCTCGAGTGTGCGTGGATTTTTTTTCCTGATTAATGAGAATAAATTACAAAAATGACATTGGTAAATGTAAGAATCATTGAGAAAGCTGCAGAACTGGGTGAACTTCTGAGGGATTTTGGTAAATTGAGGAAAAAAGGAAGAAGAACTATGTATGGGGCTAACCAACCAAAGAAAAGGAGTAGTAAACAAAAATATACTTCTCACCTTAAGAGTTCGATGAGACAATGAACATCACTCTCATGTGTTATTTATATTATAGCTCCCCACTCCCTGCTGTATGAGTGGGTCTACATCTAGACACCAAACATTTTTATTATGCTGGATATATTCTACAACACTTGTCCATATTAGCTGACCAAGGAAATAAACAAGATATGTGAATATATATATTGATTACTGAGCATTTGAGATGCTGTTCGGGTCATAGCAATGAGACGGTGTCCCCTGTCAAAGCAGGACAGAAAAAAAGCCAATTCCTTTACATTCAAAACAACTCCTTTAAATCACTCCAGCTAACATTATTTGGAGACAAAACAGAACATTCAAAGAATTTGAACCAAACCACGAGTCATCAGTCAAAGTCATTTAACTCCCCAGCAGGAGAGGATTCTGTTCAGCTTTAACTCTGCGTGATAAAGTGCAGAGAACTTTTCTGTCTGTTTTTTTTCTTTTTTTTCAAAAGACTAGTAAGGTTTTACTTCTTTTTAGAGCAAGGATTTTGAATCCTTGAATGCAAAGAATGAGTCTCTAAATCCCGACAGCTGCTCCGTGTTGAGAATCTACCACATGCCGAACATGAATGAGTTAGTCTGAGTAAATTCCATTTATTTTAACAAGATGGTTTTTTAAGCCTAAGGTAGTTATTTCAAAATATAACAGGATGGCAGCAGGCAAGCGGATGAGCGAAGGCTGTGATAGAACATCTCTGAAACACAAACAAGCCGCAGAAAACACTTTGTACTAACTCACTGTATCTGGCAGAAAAAAGTCAATCAACACTGTGTTTTACATATAAATCAAAGTGAGCAGTGGGAAACAAATGGAAGTGGATGAGGAAAACCTATTAGCTCAACGCTTATTGGCTTTTGAAAGAACCGTAATGAAACTCACATGCTAATGAGCTTTTTGTCGTATACAAAATGGATATTGAGTTTGATTTTAAAACCAGAACAGTCTTGGGGGTGCCCCGGCACTAGATTTATGTTCCTCCATTAATCCCATAAATGACTTCTCATTAGTTAGCTCCGAGCCCCGATGAGTTCTATCAACAATTCATCATTTGATATAATAAAGACAAAAAAAACAAAAAACAGAACCAAAACAAAGTGCAGAGAGTGCCTAAACTTTACCATACAAAAAACTAATAAGCACTCTTCTGCAAGCTGGGATCTTTTGGTAGAGACAGGGGTTTCAAGATAATTTGGGGGCCCTCGGCAAAAGAGACCTGGGGGGCCCTAATTGTCATTGGTGTGGATATATACAGCGATTCTTTGCTCCTTTGAGTCAGTGGTTATGTGCCGTTTTAAGAAAGAAAGGAAGATCCAACCTTCGTCAGGGATTGAAAATGTTTTGCTTTGCACAGAAGAGCAGTGGAGGTAACGCGACTGTGGTCACACTATAAGGACACCATTTACTCTCAAAGGAAATCAATTTCTATTCTATCATAGAGTGGCACTTTGACTGACCCTTAAAACCGTTTCAGTTGTGATTTCCATTATGGCAGAAGGCCGAGCTCCTGCCTGTGCAAATCTAAGCTTGTCTCGCAGACACCTCTATTGACATCTGTCCAGTTGGGATTAGAGCAGAGACATTATTGCTGGAGGTTGGCAGGACACACACACACACACAGGCTCAACACCTAATTTCTGTAAAAATTTGATTTTGCAGAGATAATCCATCCCAATCCACACACGCACGCATGCACACACACACACACGATTAACTTACTGGAGACCTATTCTAACCGTAATCGTAGTTACGACTTGCCTAACGCTAACCCAAACCTAAACTCTAACCTAAGAACATGTTGTCAACTAAAAATGTAATTATTTATATTATTGAATTGATCAATATCAAACCGTGGCTGATTGTAATAGGTTAACAGTGATGATTTAGAAGCACTGACAAGTATTTATAAACAAGAACAAAACTGACACAGCCAGTGAAGGCAAGCTAAGATATATAATAGCATGTTAACACGCCACAATGAGACATCCTAAGGTGCAGAATATCTGTTGATATCTGATGATTTTTATGTCAAAACAAGAAAACTCACATGTTAGGAGCATGTTCACAGAGCACCAGTACTCTGTCTGAGTTCAGGTGCAGTACTGAGTTGTAGTTCAGTCTTTAGAAGCACTCAAAGAGAAATACTGTTACTCACATCAGCATGTAGGGAAATAGACTTGGAGCACAAACAAAGGTCGTATCAATGGGGACATACGTCTGTATAATGTGCGTCGTTACGCAGCCTTGGTAAACAGCTGTATTGATTAAAATAGAAGCAGATCGGTTCCATCTGACCTGCAAAAAATCACTGCAGTTTATCCTCCACTGTTTTGTTTTGGCAGCTGAGTTTTTGTGCAGTGAACTGAAAACAAATAAGAGACACAAATTATTTATTTCATAAATTGAGAAAAAAAACTAATAGAAATATATTCTGTGATATGCCTGTCACAGTTCTTTTGACTCCTGTGGAGGCTGTCAAGTTGATTTCCTACTACCTCCCCCCACTGATTTTAACTTTTGTATTTATTTAGTATTTTGTATCCCAGTATTTCTGGGATACAGTTAAAACATTAGGTTTTGAACCAGCTACTCCCATGATGCTTGGTAGTGTTGCCCTGGGCTGTGCTCTTTTCTGTAACCTGTTCTGACCAGAGCATGCGAGCACTCAACTCTCCACCTGCATGACATTCATCCCCAGGACAAAGACACTGCATGATGCAACCAGAACACAACACACTCAAACACACATATACACAAAATGTAAACTACTTTTTATATATAGGCACTAAAATATAGAATATAACACTGAAAAGAAAAAGCACAACAACCTGGGTTCTCCTGTGCACAAAGAGCAGCACACAAACACACACATATTCACCTATTGATCTGTGGATCCCACCTCCCCAAAGATTCATTTTCCGGCTGGAAGACTCAGAAATAATGACCCGAGGCGTGTGAAGCTGATGCTCAGGACAGGGTGAGCGCAAGCAGAGACAAGAGAAAGAAACGTGGACCCTGCGTTCAGGCTACTCTGGAGCATTCTGCAATTGTGGAGCACTCACAAAGTTACATGATGAGATTAGTATTTTTTCCAAAGAAGATATGTAGTGAAATGGACATGATGTCAAAGCAGAGTTCTGTCTGAGGTCTTTGCTTGTGTCTGACTGCTCATATTTTTATGATTTTTAGTGATGTAGAAAACTTCCTTGTAGTTTTTGACCCCTCACTGGTTGTATACAGAGACTCCGGATACAATCTGTTTATTGAAAAATGCTTCACTTTCTCACTTGTTTAAATAAGACAAGTATTCTTTCAATTGTTTCTTTGGTATTGACTTCATTAAGCATTTGACATTTGGTTATTTTTTCTTATTATGGTGATGTTGTGGCTTTTGAATGGTTTATGGGGTTTATAAACAGTATGTTGTATCAGTCTGGTGTTTATTGCTAAGTTCATTCATCACATAGTTTACCAAACAGGGGGAGATGTACGAGAGCAGTCGCTTCTGGGGATGCCAGAGGTGGTGTGACTGACTAGATGTGCAGCTCATTTAAAAAACTAGAAAATGTAATTCGGTTCAATAAACTAAACCACTCTGGTAGATATCAGTCCCCTCCGTATGGTTTTTTTCATTCTGATGCATGAATTATTCATTGATGAAAATGCATGAAAAAAATATATATTATCAACCAACCAACAAACAAATGGACAGGGGTGATAACTTCATTGGTGGAGGTATAATTAAAATAAAATCCAAAATATTTCATCTTGTTCCCTAAAAAATTACAATGGCTGCTTGAGGTTGCAATAAAAGATAAATTAATCTAAGAGAAGATTTCTTGTGCATGCCTCCAAAGCTATGTGCACGATTCCAACCTTATATATATATATCTATATCTATAAGAGTCCTTTGATTGAAATAGAATGTAAATATGGGTTGCAATAGTATGCTAGTATCTTATGCGGTTGTTTTTTTAGATGAAGACAGTGCCATAAATAACCAGCTACCAAAGGCTGTAACACCTTAACATAACAGTGTATAACTGTGCAATGAAAGAAGTTACAGTAATAAAATATGTTGAAAATGTCAAGTATTAGTGATTAATAGATAATTAACAGTCAATTATTATTTTGAATTAACACATTTGGATAACGATGGAAAGAGTCAGTGAAAGTTTCATCTGATAGGGTTGTAGGAGTATGAAAGACAAACAGTATGGAGCTCCTGATGTTTCTAACATAAGACAGTCAATAATATTTCCAAAAATATACAGTACAGTACAGCTGTTTTCAGAGTTTTCCCTGACTTTGCCTTTCACACATGCACAACACAGCGGGAGGTTCCCTGCACAGACGCATTCACAACAGCAGCAAATCCTCAGCGTTATTCAGGTGAGAGGTGCAGCAGCCGGGTGCAGCAGTCAGAGGAAGGAAGTGACACATTAACTCCGCTAATGGGGATCACATTATCATGTTTACATCACCCCAACACCGTCGTCAGCTCTCATCACCACATGTTAGAAGCACTCGCTCACGGTGAATCCAGCGGGGGGATCCCTCCGCTGTGTTCACACATTGACTTCTCCGGACTTTCTACAGACTTAAAACTAGGAGGCCAGGCAGAGAAAGTTCACAAAAACTGTGAAGTATCTCACTCGGACATTTGCGTTCACACATGCACCTCCTCTGGAGAAAATATGGAGGAACTGCAGAGTCCAGTGAATGTCTGAAAGCAGCTATAGAGATCCCACATCAAATAAAACATCTGTTTTGATTACCTGAACCTGGATTAGATTTTTATTTGCCAGTGATGCTGAATTATTTGCCATGATTTATTTATCATTATTGTCTTTTTTTTTTTTTTTTCAATCTGCTACAAAAAGTGTGTTTCTCTCATTTATCCATTCATCACAGTGCCAGAACACATTGTCTTGAATAAGTTCCAGACTCCTGAGACATAAAGGCCGTGGGTTCAGATGTTTCGACAAACAACGCCTCAAGACACGGTTGGTTTTCAGAGCTCCAGCCTGTCGGGACGCATGGACAAGCAGCTGACTGAAGACAAGTGACAACCTCAAAGGTTGAGTGGAATCAAGGTTTCCTCTGCTGAAATGTTCTTGGTGCAGCGCGTCTCACGTTCGACAAACAAATTACCATTAACAGAGACAGAGGCTGAAATCCTAAAGGTAAACTGGGAAATTGTTCCATGCTGACAGATGCTTTTGATCAAGGACATTAAATCCACCCAAAGATCTTTTTTTTACTTCAAAGGTCAATCAGTGGCACATCAGCATCATCTTCCTTAAAATTTCTCGGATCATGGGAAGATTAAGTGAGCTGATAATTACGTGTAGCTGCTCACGGGTAGAAAACGATTCCCCCGTTGTTTGACCTTTGGCGTTCAAAGACCCACATGTTCACAGTTAGTAATTGGACTGCCCTGAGTCACATCTGCATCCTCAAAGGTATGGATTTCTATTTCCACCTGGAGTGCTCTTACCTTCCTTTTAGCCCGAAGCTGACCATGATAGTTATCACACGAGTCTCCTGGGATCTCCCCTCCCCACAGCGTCACCCCCACGATGGTGTAAGTGATGCCCATCACCACTAAAGGCAGCAGGTAGACCAGAACTGTCACTATGATGTGATACCTGGGAAGAAGAAGGAGGAAAAGGAAGAGGAGAGTCAGTGTTTAGGAAATATTTACACTATGATATTTCCTTACACAGATTTGATCTTCTGTTTTGAGCACACATTGTTACCAAGGATGAGGAGGATGATGCTGCACCACACGGCACAATGTATGGGGATGAGTTAGAAAAACATGAACTCAAGGTCACTGGGAAAAAATATCATCTGTGAATTTTCCATTGTATACAAGTCATATTCACCTCTATTATAAATGAGAGTAACAGCAAAGTACAGAGTGTGAATTGTTATTGTGAGTCACACAGGATTTCCTTTAAGTGGAAATATATAAAAAAGTACATTTCTTTCCAACTCATTGTTGGCACTGAAATGTAGATTGTATCTCTGAAACAGTAATTAAATTCTAATTAACCTACATGGAGCAATTAAACAAGAGATGTTGGAACAGAAGCTGTGGTAGTTCATGAAAGTGGAATGCTGGTATCAAAGCAAACTGAAAGGTTTCCTGTGTTAATTAAAAAATCCTCACATGAAGGGGTCGTCAGCCATGTGGGGCCAGGCCACGTAGCAGAGCGTCCTGCGAGGCAGAGCTCGGACTCTGGAGAAGTAGCAGAGAGGGAAGGCGAGGACCACGGCCAGACTCCAGATGCAGACGATGACTCCTGTGGTGGCTTTGGCTGAGAGACGAGGCTTCAGAGGGTGGATGATGGCCATGTACCTGCAGGTCAGAGGTCGGGAGGTTAAAAAAAACTCCCCTGACTCAAGAACATCGCAACCATTGCACACTTTTTCTAGCGATCTATACACAATGTCCTCTTTAAAAACATAGGAACAGCGGTGGACTAGTGGTTTGAAAAGAGGCACATCAGAATGGACGGTTTCCTGCTCGAGTCCATGGACTGCACACACCCATTGTGTGTGTGTGTGGGCATGATTGTGGGATAATAAAGTAATCTAAGAAATAAGTAACAAATGTGTTCAAGCCCCTGTGGATTTGTAAAGTGTGTTGATTTCTGTATTTTATTGTTGTATTACCTCCACTAAGAGGTTATGTTTTCACCACTGTCCCTTTGCTTAGTTGTTTATTGGTTGTTGTGTTTGTTAGCAGGATTAAGCAAAAACTGCAGAGCTAGTTTTTTATCAGCACGAAATTCAGGATAAAAGCATAAAACTAGTAAAAGGATGGACCAATAAACAGAATTTCAAAATAAATTAAAATTAAAAAGCAAAATCTTCTGCAACTGATTGAAAAAATATTTCTGTATAATCATTAGAATCTTCTTGCCTCATCTCAGATTTCTCTGAAGAAATCCTGCTGTTCGGTGACTAATTATAATTTTCTGATCTACAAATAAATAACAGATGCAGACAATGCCACTTGTAATTGTCAGTGTCATTCTTAATTTTCTGCAACAATGTCTGTAAAATTCCAATTACACTGGGGTGTTGGATAAATCTGGTGGATAACTCATTTCAAAGAGACAGTGATGACAGTAGATCATACCGGCTCTGATCCTGAACCCATGTGAGGACGCTACATGCCTTTCAATGGCTGAAAACAAAGACTGGACCTTATCCTGTCACCTCAGTGACTGGAACCCTCTGAGGGACAACAACAAAGATCAGACCGTCTATTCACTAATTGGTTGGCTTTTATTCTGAGAGTCACGCTGGCCCTTATAGATGCCAGCCTGTCAGAGGCACTGGCCTATCAAATTTAAATCAGAGGAGTCCATAGGTGGAATCACAGTTATTTGAGCTTTGCACAACAGTGGCTGATCTACTGGACACATAACCAATGAACAATAACCAGAGCGCAACGCCAGTAAAACACACACACACACACATGCGCATCGTCAGCATCCAGGGGGCTCGCTGATAGAGACATTACAGCAACAGAATAATAAATTGTGTCATGTTTTTGTTCCATCTGGGAGTCTGTCATGACTTCAGCTGCACAGGGATGCTCTCCTACAACGTACTGTTTGGAAACCGTGTTACTGTGGTGTGACATTACCAAGTGAACACACAATGTATCACTGCCTGGTGTTCAACTGGCAGAGAAGACTCAAGGCAAGTAGCCAAATATTATGCACATAACTAAATGTCAAGTGTCCTGAGATGAGAGGGAGATGTTTAATGTTCTGCCACCCTCGCTTAACAGTGTCACAAAAATACTTAACAACACTTAACAATAGAGGCATCTAGCCATGCAGATTGTTTGGGTTTGTTACCTTCAACAAAGAGGTTATGTTTTCATCCCTTTCTGTCTGAAAGGTTAAATACAAATTACTGAACAGATTGATTTCGAAACTTTTTGGAAAGCTTAAAGCCCCCCCCCCATCTTTATTCAAAAGCATGGTCTTCAACTGTAACAGAAGGACTTATCAATGTCACATTCATATTTCATAATTCTGTGACTGTCACCTAAAGCCCTGCACTCACTCAAATAGCCCCTTCTTGTGCCTAGATTTTCTCTTTTCTCTCTGCACAATTTTTTTGCGACAAGTCTGTCAAAATTCCCCAACCAATAGAATGCCAGGTTTAGTGTTGACAAAAGAAATGACTCCCCTCTTGTTGTGGATGAGCTTTACTTGAATGTACTTGAATAATTAATTATTGATTACTCTAATTTGATTTTAAGGGCCAACAAAATATCTGAGTGCAAGCACACAGTTTGCGCAGGAGCAGAGCAAATTAGAGCACAAATTAGGGCCTTTGCCGACCAGTGTAGTTTCCTTCTACATTTTCAATTTTTTGTTTCCAGATTCATATAAAGGACCTGAGTCAAAGTGAATTGTGCCAGATTGAATTAAATTTCCTACTGGCAGTCCTGAAATATCACATTCACAGGAAAGTGAGCTCACTTGATCATAACATTTGACCTCCAGGCATCAAAGTTTAATCAGTTCATCATTGAGTTCAAATTAAAGATTATACCAAATTTGAAGACATTCCCTCAAGCTGATCATGTTCAAGACAAACATGAACATACTTGGTAACGCCTCTCATTGATTGCTACATTTTTGACACTGCATTGTATTCTACAAGAGGCGCACACATTAAGTTTACACCGTTTGGTCCTTATTAGTTGTATTAATTTGTTTTTCATTGTTGTTGAGTTACCGTGTGTCTGCTCCATCTGTCCTTCTTCCTGGTTTGGCCAAAAGCTGTGACTGAGGGCGGAGCCTGGTTAAATACAGAGGCCTGGTAAATGGACCAGACTAAGTGCTGCATCAGCAAGGGGGATGATGGTGTTTCTTTGTGAGACATATCATTTTCAAATGGTTTGACCAGCCAGCTTGTAGCCCTTTGTCTCCTCGTGAGTGTCGTTGGATTCTTCACAGTATATTTGAGAAGAGTTCTGTTTGGTTGACCTGTTTCAATGGGCCTAGTTTTGGATTTAATTTGCCTGATGTTCGTTCCACCGTTTTTTGGGGGATGAAATAAATCTCATATTTTGAAAAGTAATCCTGTGCTTGTATGTCCTTAATGTTTCAGAGGTGAACGTTCACCTCCAGTTCACTCTCAATCAGCACAAGCAAGGAGGCGAATAAAACATCTGCTTCCTGTGGTCATGTCGATGTCGAAGGATGGCTTTCTGTGGAGGTTCACTTTGGTGAACTGTGACCCAGGATAATTGCTTCACATTCACATATGTGTGACTGTGGCCTTTGGCTGCTCTGTCCTTAACCGACCAACACCGGTGTCAATATAAACAAAAAAAATGCATATGAAATGTTCACATTTGATGTTTTACTGGTTGTGGCCCTAATTAGTGACTCCAGACAGTGACTGAAGCAAAGAGAGTATCAGGGTGTACGGATGTGACTTCATTCTACACATTCATCATCAGAGCAAGAAAAAAACCTGGCAGTGTGACAAATGAAAAAGTCACAAGGTGCGATACCATGAAAAGCTTTAAGGCTTCACTAGTTACCTTTCACACACACAAAAACACACATACACAAATGCTCTGAAACCTGAGTTTATCTTTTGCTGCAGTGCCCAAAGAAAATGGCACAGGGATTTAGCAGGAAGGACATTCACAGATGATCGCGAACTGTGGCCCCATGACATTTCAAGACATCAGAGCGGAGACAGCAGCACACTGGGGTTACGAAAAGCATGATCTGCATCACGTAGTTCACGGTGATGTTCTGTTTTTCAGCACACACTTGACAGAATGGAAATGACACAGCAAACCAAAAACACAAACGCATAGAAGTTGCTGTGTAGGAGCCAAAATGAGCCAGGCCTGAGGAAACACACTGTTCCCTTTGTGTGTCAAGGAGAAGTACCGGAGGAGGAAAACACCTCTCACAATATTACACACCGTGACACTTGCACACAAGCTACACACACACACACACACACTGTATCTGTGTGTCTACAGCTTCTACGTGATCTTTGTTTTTATTACACTGAGCCTGTGGCCGCTTCCTTCATCAGTCTAATCCCTTTATTCAAACATTATGACGTCTGATGGCTCGGCTGATAGTGATGACTGCATCGCCACATTTACTGGAAAACTTCAGGGGGAGAGAACAGAGAGAGGGATGGAGGGAACAAGGAAAGAAGGAGAGAGAGAAAGAGTCTGGGAAAGCAAAAAGAGATGAATAAGATGAGTGCATGTGACAGAAAGGAAGAGAGTCAGGGAGCATGACAGCATGGAAGGGTGATCTTCTCCTGGGTGTTAGCACACACACAAACGCACACACACACACATGCTCGGTCTCTGCACTGGAAACAACGGCCACAGTCTGTGATTGAGTGGCTGTGAAACATAAAAATAAATGTTTGGCTAAGACCCCACGGAGTGAGAGAGAGCAGTCACCCTGCTATGCAGCCGCCTTCCCCCTATAATAATTCACAGCACAAACAAGTAATTATCCACTCAACCACATGGGGACTGAAATAAATGTTTGCTTAAATCAGCAGGGAGCATAACTCTGATTAAATGATGTGGGGTCACGATCATACACTATATAAAAAAGAATTGAAGAATATATAATTGAAGAATTTCAATTGAACCAATTGAGACCCAAATGCATAAGCTCTTCTGTTTTGAAGCATGAGGGCACAAATGAGTATATCAATTAATGAGATTGTGCAGCTCATTGCAGCGTGGAGAGCATCGTGTCATCAAATGAGACTTAACATGAATCTGAGTTGTTTTTCTTGTTATAAGCACGAGATTCACCACAACTGCTGGTCAAAGGCAGCATAGTCAAGTGGAATAATGGGAAACGAGATGTCAAACAATCATGCATGAAACACTCGAGATGAAAGCGTTTGGGTGAAGAGGATATTTTTACATCCTGTGTAGCTTTAAATGTATTCTGTGCAGCCTGTGCTCGGGATATTTCATTGCTGATTGGATGATTTGATGGTGCACTGGACATATGGGTATATTCTACTCCCTTGGCTGGAGATGCACTTCCATATATACCTCATTATCTTATATTGAGACACACATCAAATCCTTTACATCTTAATATATGATAAATATATTTAAATCGTATCATTCTCACTTTATATTGCATTTATGTCCTGTAGATGTGGCTTATTCTATTGGTGTTGAGCATTCATATGTATTTTCTATCTGGTGTTGAATGTTTTTTTAATGCAAAGCACGTTAAAGGTACAGTGTGTAGAACTTTGTGATATTTAGTGTTGAAATTGCATGTTGCAGCTGAACACCCCTCACCTGACTCTCTCCTTCCAAACATGAAAAAGAACCTGTGGTAGCCTTTAATTGTCATAAAAACTCAAAAGGTGTTTAGTTTGTCCAGTCTGGACTGATGTAAAAAACATGGCAGGACCCCCTCGATGTAAATATAAAATATTTAAATATAAAGTATTTAAATATAAAGGGCCTTTTCTGGGGTAAAGGAAACTACAAATCATACAATTTAAATGAAACGAACTAGTAAAAACATCATGAGAATTTTTCTATACATTTCTGCCAATAGTTCCCTTTCACCTAGATCTTACACACTGGACCTTTAAGTCTATACCACTGTATGAAATGTGTTGCACAAATTTAAAAGGGTTGATTGATTAATTACTGTGGACTATGATACTTTATAGAGAGATTAGAGAGAGAGAGAGAGAGAGAGAGAGAGAGAGAGAGCATCAGTCATTCATGAAATACTGTGCCTCCATCTCACCTGTCCACAGATATCGCGGTCATGGAGTAGATGCTGGCGAACACGGACGTGACGGGAAAGAAGTTGTGGAATTTGCAGTACGCCTCTCCAAAGTACCACTCCCCGTGCGCCGCGTAGATGAAGTTTATCAAAGTGTTGAACGCGGCCATGGACGCGTCCGAAAACGCCAAGTTGAGCAGAAAGTAGTTGGTCACCGTCCTCATGCGTTTGTGCGCCAGGATGATCCAAATCACGATCAGGTTCCCGAACACCGCCACCGCCAGCACCACGCTGTAGGCGATGGACCAGAGCGCGACGCGCCACGGGGGCTGCACGTACGGGTTAGTGATGGTGATGTTGATGTTGGATCCGTTGTGTGGAGCCGCCATCCTCTCCTCTCCTCTGAATGCTTGTATTACTCTGATCTACCTAATGGGGCGCGGAGCTGTGTGTAGTGCAATAGGGTTTGCGTACCAGGCACCATAGCGCGCAAAGCATCACCACTCTCGAAAAGCAGACATCTCCCCACAGAGGTTCCAGCAGTGTCGTCTCCAAACGTCCCAAAGTAACACAAGTGAAACGCAGTGACAGTGAAAACCTTAAGTGTCCCTCAGTGCCTGTTGAATGTGTGTGAGCGCACAGCCTCTCCTCCAGCAGCAGCAGCAGCGGGCAGGGCGCAGTGCGCACTCAGTGACGCACAAGTGGCACAAATGGTGAAAGAGATTGATTGATAGTTGTAGCTGCTGTTTTAAACTTCATGAATAACAGATGGGCCAAGCTCTCTCTCTCTCTCTCTGTATGATATAATCCTTTTAGTGCACATATACCTTGTATATACCTTTCTCTTCCCTGACCCCTCAGATGATCTGCAGCATGTCACAAACAGGATATTGGAATATTGCAGAAAATGTGTCTGTGCAATTCCAATTATGCAGAATTACTATATGTTGCTGACTCCAATATGCTGTACAATTTATCATCCTTATAATTAAACAACATTTTTGTACATGCAGTTATTACCTGGCTTGTATAGGCCTGCATGTCAATGTGGAACGTTTCATAAAGTTTTGTACCTCATATATATTTTTAGGGGAGGCTGTGTCTCAATTCAGTGGTCACATCCTTCAGAGACTGCAGATCGATTGCGTCTCAGCGGCTCAGCTCTCCCTTTTCAAAGGTTGACTGACAAATGCTTCCTTTCATCTCTGATTAACAAAGGCTCCAACGGGTGGATCCTTCCCGGCCCAACCTATCCCAGCGTGACAAACTGTATTTAAAAGAGGTAACGGGGCCAGCAAGCAACGAGATGTCCAACGCTTGAGTATCACATTTCACGTAACGTAAAGGTATACACATGTTAAAAAACCAAGGGCCATTACAACTTTCTCATCATGTCCAACTTCAGCTCTGTTACTAGGTAACAGCAATAAGGGCAGGACATGCTTGTGACGTCGATCACGGAAAGCCTCTGTAGACCAGAATGTCTCATTTCGGTTCGGCCTTCGCCGTTTACATGTCTCTGCATCCTTTTATGTTTTTCTCATGAGAGAGGTACTTCAGTCTTTCAAATTTGTGTACATTAGCCTCCCTGTCATGAGGTTTCCAAAGACATTCATGGACTTGTCAGCAAATAACTCACGCAGACAGATGTTACACTTAAAATATTTTATCCAGTTCAGTGTCACCTCCACTTGTTGAATTCTCCACTGCTGTAAAATTTGGACTCCTGATCTTCAGGTAGATCCGTTACCGCCTATATGCTTCTCTTCTTGTCTTGGATCATCCTTTTTCTTTATTAGAGAGAAAATAAATGTTCAATGCTGAGCCAATGTGCTCGGGTGGTTGTGGCTCTCGCCTTTTCTGTCACACCAACATACACAGCTAACAGGCTGAGGTCCCCTCCAGTCCTTCAACTGTTCACATCCGATAAACCTCCTTCATCTGCTCTATAGCCTTTAGTGCTATGGTAACCTCTACATGGGTTACATGTGTGTGTCTTCTTCCATGGATGATCAAATCCAATTAATCCAGTGAACATTTTCAGGCATTCCTAGTTGATATGGAAAGACTCCAGTTTACAGTCAAGTGGATTTTCCACAAAATATTTTCAACTGGTTTTCCATCAGCACACTAAACTTAAAGGGAGTTTGAATGAAAACATGTTCAATGCTACATACATTTAAATCTGAGAGTTCAGCTTGATGTCCTCAAGCTCTCTGAATTGCCTTGTTGTTGAAATGTGCTCTTGCCTTGCCTCACTGCACTGCACCAGGCTTCAGTATGTGACTGCACTGTGGTGTCATGCAGATCCTTCACACTGGTGCAACACAGCGGGGCCATGTTGTCACTGCAGAGGAAAGTCACCCCATTTCTCACAAGTTATTTAATGTTTACAGAGACACACAAAAGCTGCAACAGGTAACCAAGCAAATTCAGTCTGTAGACAATAATACTAGTTTATTATCTGAGGCAGTAATTACGGCCCACTGCAAACAATGGAAGGAAAAACCAGCTGACTGTCTAACTGTGTGTTATTCCTTTGTTGGACGTCATTTGCCCCAGATGTTTTAACAGAGACGGTCAGATCTACAGGTAAAGCTGATAAGACTCATTGAAAAGCCGATGAAAATGCACCGTCCTGTTACCCTGAATAAAACTGTGGATTTCTCTGGGTTTGAACATTGTCAGAAACATTTTGATGGTGTAAGTGCACAAGTCAACAAAATATATAACATAGGTCTTGACATTTTAATGAAGAATTGTTAAATATATCTTTGAAAGGTATATTGCTATAGTGCCTGCTGCCCATATATCTTTTTTCTTACTTTAATTGCCTTTGTATGTGTTTGAATACGATTTTGATATACATTTGGTCATGCAAAACACATGGAGGTGACTTTGTATGTAATGTGGAGGAGAAATAAAGATTTTTGAACTGATGATTAATTGTAGTGTAAAACAAAAGGATTTCACGTGTTCGGTCCAGCCCGTGTAAATCACATGAGTTTTTCTTCTACTTGATTGTCCTGCATGTTGATACAGATTGAAATTCATATCTGTTATATGTGATATGTAAATGCTGCCAAAAGTCTCACAGAGAGGCAATTTAATAATAAGACAGTGTGTGCTGTATGAAAATAGGGCATATAAATTCATTCATTCATTGATATGAATTCATGGATATTCATATAAATATGAGTACTGATTTTATGTCAACATGATGTTTTCCCTGTGAGAAAACATGTCACCATTACTAAAACTATATTTCTCCATAGGAGAGTTCCTACATTCACAGAAAAATGAAAAGAAACTGCTATAGAAAAAAGCAGAATCTATAAGGTGCCGTTTATATAGAGGTAAGCACTGACAGAGAGCATGGAAATCATCTCTGTGGCTTTCACACAAGTCTTTGATCACTATTAAAAAGCCTGAGGGCCTCTCCAGGCGTCCACTGTACGATCTGAGCAACTTTTATTAAACAGAAGTGGAAGCCAGGCTTTTATCTTGTAAATGATTAACTCGTGGTAAATTATATCCACCCGAATGCACATTTAGGATTGCAGATGTACATTTGTAGCATTGGGGAGTTGCATATAAACCAATCACAAATGAGTAATTTATTTGAAAAGCCTGCTTTGTTGTTTATAACAAGATTAGAAAAATTAAAGACCACATTTTTTGGTCTTTTTAGTCATTTTGTACGTTCCATGTTTTGTAGCTCCTGAGTTATTTAGCTCCCTGGAATCGATTGAGGTGCTCTGATAGGAATATTAACCTCTGCTCTCTGAGGAACACTGTGGAAATATATTTATAGTCTAATACATATTCAACAAGTCAAGTATGAATTAATTTTGAAAAGCTTATTCAGTATATAATGATTAGAAATTGGAATTTTATGATCTTTATTGACAGACTACAAACTATATATATATATATATATATTTATTTATTTTTTCCACAGAGTCCAGCTGTGACCCCGATCTGTTCTTTAATTGACCCTCTGAGCTGTGAGCTCATTGTCTGACTGCAGCTTTGTCATGTGCATGTTGCAAAACATGATATGAATGCTTGTCTCTTTCTATATCTTGTAAAAGAAATACCAGGGCAGCAGTTACATAGCTTCAGTTGCCACGTTCGTCGCCAGCTCTTTTCACAGCTGCCTCTGTTTGTGTTTCAGGGCTCTGGGCTATTTTCTCTAATCAATTCAAAATATAACCAGGGACAGCAATATCTTTGCTAATGAAAGAGCATCGCTCCTCAATTATTTCCTAATTAGTCTTTACCTCAGTCATTAACAGGTGAACATCACATTCCTGAGAAAAGGATCATCATGTAAGAGCCGCACTTCACTCTGCTTTTAGTTTGCAAAGCATGTGGGGCTACTGACCAACAACAGGCTCTCACACACTAATCAATTAGAGGATATGAGAGGTCATGTTCGTGCAACATGTTGACACAGATTCAGAATCGCACAGTTTTATCAATAAAGCCTTACTTCACATAAGCAGTGACATATTTGACTTGCAGATGGAAGAGCTTTTCTCTAAAAGTCCAGCTCCTCAATGTGCATGCAAAACAACCCTACAGAGAAATCTTCATTAAGAGCCTGTAGAGAAATCCTGATAATAATAATAATGATCTTATTGATGACTACAATGGCATCTCTTTGAATACATACCTCTGCCAAGGCCCAACAGCTGCCTTAGATTCACTAGATCCAGAGTTTTGGTTGGATCTGCACAAAATTGCACATTTATCAGTAAATGTGTCTTATTTTTTTCATCAAGAGCCATGAATTATTTCTAACAATTAAAAACCCCTAACACCCTGATCTGCACCAAAGTAGAATTTCTTCTCTGACCCACACTGCATCCTTCCACCAAGTTTAATGATAATCTATCCAGTAGTTTTTGCGTAATCCTGTCAAATACCAAGCAAAACAATGCAGATGAGAACACAACCTCCTTTGTGAAGATAATTATAGATTTAAAATATTTTTATAATCATCTGCGAGAAATGTTCTTTCCCTTTGTTCACGCAGCATTTCTACAACTCAGTGCCTCTCCTGCACTGACATGTGCTGCACTTTCACACTGTGACACCATGACTATCACCACATTTATACTTGTGTTCCCCACATGTCACATTAGTGTTTGATGACCTGAGAGGCCTGAGGGGAGCAGGCTCAGCAGGGTATTGGCAGTTTGTGTCAATATTGCTCCATTAAACGAGGGACTGGAGTGAAGCTTAAAGGTAATGGCTGTAGTTTTCGGATGTTTTAAAATAACTTGATGCCCTCAGAGATGAACAGTGGTGGAAGAAGTAATAAATGTTAAATGTTATAAATATTATTCTTGTGTAGTAATTTCCCAAAAAAACTGCAGCATCCATTATTTACAACAATTACAGCCTAGCTTCATCATGAAGTTGAAGGCTATAGGTGGAAGTAGTTTCACTTCTGCTTCATGTCATTACCAGTAGTTAATGTAATAAATGACCCTTTTACTCCAGTGTGGGTGATTGTTCTGCTAATGCTGCTGAATACGGGTGAGCCCCTCAGGCTCTGATCCCACAGAGACACGTCTCCTTTGGGAAATCAGCCTTATAGGCAGCGTTTCCCTGGGATAAGCAACGTGTGCTCCATCACTCCCTTGTGCCCGGTCTGTGAAGACATCACAACACGGAGTGTGTGACATTAATATTTATACAGAGCAGGGTGTGCTGTTCTGTGTCGGTCCAGAGGAATGCAAAGGGTTTAAAGGATCAAGTCTGGTGCAGAGGAAAACGGAAAATAGAAGCCAACTCTACAATTCTAAATCATTTTGTAATTAAATGTAATGACATTTGATATCATATGTACATTACTATATGTGTAGTTTAGATGTAACAGACACTGTGAGTAAAATCCATTGTAAGATGAGGATGAAAGCATCACGAAATGCCAGTAAATAGACATTGAGTGAGGATCATTTTCCCAAATAGAAGAATATAATCATTGCTAAATGAACTTGTGTGAGCAAACTTGGACCAAACATTGCTCGTGGATCCATATTCACAGCTGTTTTTGATAATTGGGTTTGAAATAAGATAGAATGAGATAAGATGTTTATTAATCATTAAGGACATTATTTTGCCAAATCTTGCTTCAAAGTTACAATAAAATTAAGACAGTATAAGAAAAGTATAAGAATAGCTTATAAGTAAGATAAGTTATAAAAAAAACTAAAAACATTTGTCTAAAACAGGGATAGAGAAAGTAGTTTTGGTAATGATCAATGAGAATCAATACTTGCACATGATAATAAACATAATGTTGCAAATAATATTAATAAAAAATGTCCACGATAATAATGCATTTGATATTTGATATTACATCTTAGTTGGATGTACAGCACAGCATAATTAAAAGAGTGATATTGAACATCATATAGAACATTAGTGTTGACCCCAAATTTGTAAGATTGTGTCACAGATCCCTGGCTTTGATTGTATTCTTATAATTTTATTAGATAATGAACTTTTACTTTTACTGACATCTGTGTGAATGTAAATATGCCAGAGAAAATAGAACGTAAACATAGTGGAGGAAATGTGGACGTCACATTGTGTCATTTCTCCCACAGTCGATCTCAACAGCAACTAATTTGATCTAAATAAAACTACTGTCAGAGAAAAGTGTTGATTAACAGAAAAGGTTATTTGTCAAGCAACAAAATGCCACATTTTCTTTTCTTCCAGCTGCTCTGATGTTTATTTCTGTTACTGTTCGTTGCTTTGAATGCACTGCAACAAAACACACGATCTGCTCTCATACTCTTCATTAATTAAGACATTTACATACTTGCAGAATGTGCCACACTGTCACTGTTAATTCAGAAAATGACAGAAAGTTGTCACGAATCGGTTGCTTTCCCCATCAATTCCTCAATGAATGAATGAGAGCTGGTGAACGTGGACCTGCTGGTGCCACTTGGTTATCAGTGGCCAAAGCAACACAAAAGATGAGCAATTGTTGCGTGCATGGTGGCTGAGAGGATAAAAGCATGTGACGTTTTGTGCAGGTGGAGTGTGGCAGTGATTTATTTGTCCAACGTACTCGAGGATGATTTCTGAGATTTCTGAAACACGCAAATGTTTGAATGGAAGAAATAAATAGAAACTCTTCCCTTTGGTTTGAGATTTATTCTCTCAGTTTAGTGGAAACCAGACAATCCTGTGATCTCCCGTATGTTTTTGTTTTCGGTCGGCTAATGAATGAATGAATGTTGGGTTTTTGTTTCCCTTCACTCACTTCTAAGGTTCTCATGAGAAAATCCCTTAAGCCACAGAAACAGCCTTTCTGTTTCTCTCTGATACAGTCATCAGCGGCGCAGCGGTGAGATTGGCGTGAAGACAGATTGAAATGTGAAGTGATACTGTGAAGAGCTGTTCGACTTTTCTAGGCGATCTCCCTCCACTTAATTGTTCTGTGTATTGTGATGCTGAGGTAAAGGGTTTTTCAACATTTTCAGCATTTTCCCCGAAAATAATGCATTTATTTAGATAAAAAATGGATCGTTAATGGAGGTATGTGCTATTCTATGTTATGTTATGTCTGATTTTGCTTTAATGCTATATGTTCACTTCTTCGGGCCTGATTATTGATCAGTTATTCTCAGAGTGTGCAGCAGCTGCAGAGGATCTGAAGTTCTTCCCAGGCTTCCATGACTCGTAACACACCTGCAGACCAACTGTGTGTCATGTGTTGCAAATCCTTTACTATCCCCGTGTGGCCAGCAGTGATTACTGCAGGGCTAGGAACAGCAGTAGGTTTGTCAGCACACAGCTGAGCAAATCTAGTTAACAACCAATCAACATAAAGGACAAATGACGCAAAAACTTTATTTGAAGTGAGTGTCAGTATTGTCATTGGCAATACTTTAATTTCACAATATACATATGTAAAGAATGGAAAAGCCTTTAAGTCCCATCTCTAGAGTTAGTTTTAATGATCAGTCTCAGATAGCAAGTTCAGTAAGAAAGATTCCCTCACAGGAAATCAAATTTTGTGGCTACATTGAATTTTTTAATTAAGAGTAATTATGTCTCTGCTGTAGTGGCTTTATCCCTCTTCTTCTGCCTCGTCACCCTTTCCATCTTCATCTTTAGCTTCCTCTGTTTTTTCCACATCTTTCTTTTCCTCTTCACCTTTTTCTTCATCTTCCCTTTTCTCCCCTTCTTCTTTTTCCTCTTCCTTCGTCTCCCCTTCCACCGCTTTCTCGTCTTTTCTTACCTCCTCTTCCTCGTCATCCTCATCCTCTACCTCCTCTCCTGTCAGGCGCTCCAGGTCTGTGATGCGGTATCTCAGGGCTTTGTCGGCGCTTTTGTAATTTCCCAGAATCTTCTTTAGCTTGCTCTGCATCAAATCCATAGTGTTATACAATCTGTTGACCTTCTCCTCCAGCTCTTGCACCTCAGGCAAAATGTTAGCGGGGTCCAGCTCGATCAGACCGTCTTTCATCAGGATCTGCCGGCCTTTCTCTTCCAGCATGCCTTTAGCGTCTGGATACTCGGTCAGAGACTCCATCAAGTCGTCCTTGGACAAGCAGAAGAGGTCTGAGTATCCGATGCTGCGAATGTTGGCTGTCCGCCTGTTCCCTGCTTTGCTGCCTTTGATATTGAGAATGCTGATCTCACCGAAATAGCTGCCACTTCCCAAGACAACAAACTGTGTGACACCATCGTCTGCAACGACTGCCAGTTTCCCATCTTTGATGATATACATCTCGCGCCCGATGTCGCCTTTCTTGCAGATATAGTCTCCAGGGCTGAAGACTTGAGGCCGTAGCTTGAGCACCAGCTCGATCAACAGGCCAGCCTCGCAGTCCGCAAAAATCCGAACTTTTTTGAGCGTCTCCATGTGGACCTGGATGGCAATTTCAGCCTTGAGTTTGTCTGGAAGGTACCGCAGCACCTCTCTTTCATCCTGTGCCTTACCGTTGTTCCACAGATAGTCAAACCACTTGATGACTCGCAACTCAAGCTCCTTGCTGACTTTTCGAACCTTTAGATGAAAAGAAAGCACATTTAAAAACACAATTAACATGATTCTGTTTCAAAATTTAAATGGATTGAAGAGGGCCATTTACCTGCATATATTGCTTGATGTTGTCGATTCGGGCCTGAAACTGGGCTTGGGCAGCATTCATGTTGGAGATCATGGTGGCGATGTTTCCTACAATTGTGGCGAAAATCAAGACTCCAACTAAAAAGTCAGCCACATGGAAGAAAAACTCTGAGTCCAGAGCTGGTGGTGGTGTTTCTCCGATGGTGGTCAGGGTCAGTGTGGACCAGTAGAGGCTGAACGAATACTTCCTCATGGGCAGTCCAAATGCAGGCTCCTCTGGATCATCCAGAGCTGGGTATACCCAGTCGTCGGCCCCAAAACCAATAGACTTGGAGAAGGAGAAGTAGAAACAGGCATTCCAGTGGATAATAATGAGGATGTACATGATCAAGTTTCCGATGCGGAAGATGTTGGGGTAATTGGTTTTGGTCTCTGTCCTCGCGAAGAACTCCATCAAGCGTCCGATTCTCAGCAGCTTGTTGATGCGGATCTCTGGGTAGTTGAGGCCCAGGATGAAATAGAAGATGTCGGTGGGCAGCATGGAGACAACATCAAGGCGAAACTGGAAGCTGCTGATGTAGCGATCCCGCAGCAGCTTCTCATCTTTCACCAGCAGACCTTGTTCCAGGTAACCTGCATGTGAAGAGATGCAAGAACATATACACAACATAAGTTTTATACGAGTAAAAGTTCCAGAGAAAATAAAAGTTTGCACCAAAAGTATTCCCTTGTACTGCTGCAATCACCCCCTGATTGCACACCGATAATCACCCTTTCAAACTCATGCTGCGTGAGTGATGATTGAGGTATCTCACAGTAAAGAATGTCAGCACTCATATAATTTAGTTTTATATTTGTTCACATTTTGGTCAAATTAGTCGGAGCTGTAATCAGTCTTTATTTTCTGATGATCAGTGTCTCATTGTAATTCAAATGTAAAAATGCAGTGATATGATAAATCCAGGATGGGAAATATTTCTGTCAAAGAAAACGTTAAAATGCTCAAATGTTTGGTTTGCATATTTAGAGTACATTGTATTACAACACTACATCAAAACAGATCTGAATGCTGCTTTGTGCAAACTTGCTGTGAAACGATCAGTTTCAGTGTATAACTTTATACCTGATATATATCAGTTAACTATACACTAATATATATAACGCTGCTCATTCACTTTGAATGCGGTAACGTGATGTGTTGCATTTGGGCTCTGTTGTCAGGTCATCTCTTCATGCAACAGTGGAAGCACCAGCCAATCACATCGTGCTTAAAGAAGTTCTCGAGAGACAACTAGTGAACCTGGTGTTTTCTCATCTGGCTGAGAATTGTATTTCCTGTCTACTTCTTTTTAGCATAGCATTGATAGCAAGCCTGGAACGTTGGCTCGAAGCCGGCTGTGTTTTGTGTCCCACGCATGGAACTGGGATTCAATTGTTGGGCACGCTCACCATAAAGTGTTAATGCAATGCATTTATATAAGTGCAGTATAAGCAATGTGGGACACAATTCATGGTCCTTGTGTGAACCATGAACTGTGCAAAATACATCTGGCTTCAGCAGAGTTACAGTCTTTTTTAGTACCATACACACCTGTGTGTTTTCCTGGATAGTGTTTTCTCGCTGAACTGCAGTGATAGTAACACAAAGAGGTACTTTTATTAAATTACTCTAAATTCCAGGGCTCATATTTATCTCTGATGAACTTTAGAGTGCAATTTCACACATGCAGTCCAAGAACTGTGGATTTGTGTCAGTTTTATGTTTTACCTGTTCTGGTCCTGACAAGCATATCAGCCAGGTAGACCACGTCGGAGGCGTAATCCAAAACAATCCAGTAAAGGATGAAGTTGTCCTGCAGCTCCTCAAAGCTAGCCCTGGAGAGGAGAAGGCCATCAGCAGTGTGTTTGGTTGAATTAATAATGTTGAGCACCGACTCCATTTTGTCCTGTTGGGCCACTACTGCTACAGTTGATGTGAAGACAATCTTATAAGTCAGCTCACTGCTAAAATCACATGATATGTATCAGCCTCCCATTGGATAGGACATGAATAATACTCCATGAGGAAATATGAACATTTAACCTCAGGGAAATTATTTAACTGGAATGACTGGTTCTAAGATGTTACCTGGCTATGATCGTGGTCCAGTTGTACATGACTGGTAGTGTGATGATGAACAGCCAGTTGTAATATAGATTCCCAGCAGGATTAATGACAAACAATTCTTTGGGTCTAAAAAGTAAAAGACAGAGTGAATTAAATAGTTGAGAGCGTGCAGGAGTAGAAAGTTGTTTTAAATGATGTACTTACTTATCTTTGTCCTTGTCTTTGTCTTTGTCCTTTTCCTTTTCCTTTTCCTTTTCCTTTTCTTTTTCTTTTTCTTTGTCCTTGTCCGTTTCTTTTTCCTTTTCCTCCTCTTTCTTTTCCCCCTGCTCTTCTTCTTTTTCATTTTCCTCCTTGTTGTCTTCCCCCTTTTCTTCTTCTTTTTCCTTTTCCTCCTCTTTGTCTTCCCCCTGCTCTTCTTCTTTTTCCTTTTCCTCATTATCCTTCTTACTGTAACGAGAAAAAGGGACATTAAACATTCTTCACTCTGCTAAAGGTTGTTCATCATGACATAATTACTCTTTATTCTCCTTATCCTTTTTCCTTTTTTGTCTTTTTCTCCCTGGAACAGGAACAATTATCACATTAATTAAAGTCACTGAATTCACTTTAAAACAACGTCAAATAAAAACCAGGGCTTCACTTATCACCGTTTGACTCATTATTGTACTTACTCCTCACTGTTGTTACTGTTGTTCACATTGAGCCGACAATGAGGGTTTGATTGAAGCGCACGTCTGGAACAAAGACAAAGAGTTAATCAATGACCAGTCCTACTTTATTGTATGAACTGTGCGTCCTCTGTTTGAATGAGGGTGACACAAGGTTTTGCTTACAGCTCGTCCTCTTTGCTGTCAGAGGTGATTTTCTTTGCAAGGTGAGGAGGCACGGTGAGGTGGTGATGGGTGGCTGAGGTGGTCATGGCAGCAGATCTGATGAAGATAAAGCAAAGGTGGAGCATTAGTGAAGGGTCGAGGGGTCCAAGTCAGTATATTGTCCATCCATCCATCCATCCATCTATCTATCTATCCATCAATCATCTATACAGCTTAATCTATGTGGGTACTATGTGTAGTATTTCTCATACAATTGTAGAGCATCAAATGTCTTTGCTGATTAGAGCAAAAGGTGAAAATACCTTTCTTTAAAACTGTGCTGTGCTGAAATACATCTGCAGTGTGATATTACAGAGGCACAAAATAAAATCAACAAAATGTATAGATTTGTTTATAACTCCACATCTGTCCAGCCTTTCAGCTCATAGATCTTTGTGCATGTCACATCTGCTGTAATATTCTCCTCTGTAGAACTTCTTAAATATTGTAAAATAGTTTGTTTGACACATCTGGGTCTGTGTGTGAGTTAAAGACAGCTGTGTGAAAGTAGCCAGACATCGTGACAGGTTAAGTTCAACAAATCAGTTGAGACTAACTGTATTATAAACACGTGCAGCTACAAAAATTCCTTGAATAAATTCCGTTCCCTATGAGTGAACTTACCTTTTCCTTGTTAATATGACGTAATGTCCATTTCTCTTTGCACCTCCTGTAGTTTTGCTTTAGGATCTGGAAACTGGCCTCTCACAGCAGCAGAAGATTTATAGCATCAATTATCAGATGCTAAATAAAATAACATCAATATGTTGCCAGACGCCTATAAGCATTGAGTCTGACTGTGTCATAGCGTCTCAGTGACCCTGATAAGGATTTGTGGATTAAGGGTTGGCTGAGAAGAGGTGAAGCAAAGTCACTCATCCAGCTTTATTTGTCCACTACAGAAGGAGATAAACTGTCAACTGTAGTTTGGACCAACCTCAATAAACTTGGTGGTGAGGATCCACAACACTGGAAACCATTTAGTGGTCACTTTTTCTTTTTTAAACTGCAACACGCTCTAATTTTCCTGACCAGCAGAGAGTGGAACCGCAGAGGATTTGATCTGCTCTCTCTCTCTCACTCTCATACACACACACACACACACACAGACACACACACACTAGCATCTCCTGCTCACTCAGCACTCTCAGCCATATCCAGCCCTGATCCTATTAGATGGTGCCGAGTGTTACAGATTTCAGATCAGCTGCACTAGTTCCTTTCATATGAATAAGAATCACGAGAGGTGAGATTGAATCTGACCCTTTGTCAGTGTCGAGCGTTGAAGCTTGCTAACAGGAGATCCTTCTCCCCCTGGGGCGCGACTCACATCCTGTGCTTCTGTGGCTCTTCCCTGTTGGCTGATGTGGTGTTTGTAGTTTTGTGAAAACTCATTTTACAGCTTATACTTGAACTGAGCATAGCTGCGGGTGAATCATACTGCTTCAGTGTCAGTGTCCTGGTATTATATTGAAATGTATAGTGATGCCTGTGCTCTCCTTACATGACCCCAACAAATAAAAAAAGACAGTCGACTACAGAGAGACATAAGAAATATGGTGAGAGACAATTTTTATGGTTGAGTTAAACCGAAGATGCTGCAGCTGAATGATACTCATATAAATGTTTCAACATCTAATTAATCACGACTGAAGCACAGTATTGCAAAATGTATTTTAATAAAAGACAGAAAAAACTACAAAGACAATCTTTAATTGTCAAATTCTGAAGTTGAAACACTTGTTTTGCCTCACAAAGAGCATGCACTGTATGCTAGGTATATATTTTCTTTTCAGTCTCTTTCAGCATGCCACAGCTTTTCCCTGCTGTGTTGGTGCACCTACAGCACCAACTGCTGCCTGTCATCTTCTGTCTTAGCAGCTAAAAGAAGAGCACTTAGGCTGGTGATGAGGGGAAAATAGCGACACTGCAGCAAGATCTGCTGCCATTCCAGCTGTGGAAGCCTAAGCTGCCAGCGGGGCAGCGCCGGCATCAGCGGCACCAGCGTCAGCAGCAGCAGGGACGTCGGCTGCAGCAGGAGAGGCCACATCTGCAGCCACCTCAGGGGCTGCTGGGGCCACGTCAACAGGGGCCACGTCGACTGGAGGCACATCCACAGCTGCAGCATCAACGGCAGCAGCATCAACAGCAGCAGCATCAACAGCAGCAGCATCAACAGCAGCAGCATCAACAGCAGCAGCATCAACCGGTGCAGCCTCTACAGGGACATCAACCACAGCTGGTTCAGCAGCAGCTGCAGGGTCTGCTGCTTCTGGCTCTGCTGGTGCTGCTTCCACTACAGCTGGCTCAGCTTCAGCTGCCTCCACCTCTTCAGCCTCCTCTTCCTCGTCAGAGTTCAGAGGGGCAGCAGCAGCAGCCGGTGCTGCGGCTTTGGGAGCAGGGTCTCCTTCCTGAGCATGAGAAATAGAAAGGAAATGACTTAGAGTTGATACATAGTCCACATAGTTTTGTCTATTTACAGACCAAAAACGTTTGGATAACCATCCATCCATTATGTGCCACTCATCCTTTCATAGGGGGGCTGGAGCAAATCCCAGCCAAAAGACATTTGGATGGGAAAAGCATTCCACGGCCTGTGCGCACAAATGTAAGCTTTGAAAAGTGTGAGAAAACTACTCAAGTGACACCTCGAAGCTTTTGTTCGGAGATCACAGAGTCTCTGTATGAAAACAGTTGGCACAGAGTTTTACCAGAGGTCAGAGAGGTCAAACGAAAAATGTCCCACTACTTCCATTAAAGGAAAAAAAGGGTCCGGCTTTACATTGGAGAGTAATGGTCAGAATATATTGAACGCTGATCCAATTCAACCTCAAACCCTTCTCCTCTGTGTTTTCCAATTTTGATCAAAGTGCAGGACGGTTCAACTTTAAAAGTGAAAAGAGCATGAAAACTTTTGTTTCCCCAGAGAAGATTTAAGATAATTTTGCTGCATTAAGTTTCAACTTAATCAGCTCTCTTTTTAAAGGAAAAATATAATTAACAAGAAAACAAGTACAGGTATAAACAGTCAAATCAATTCCCACCAGTTTCAGGGTCCTGGTATTATGGATATTATCATTATTTATTGAGACATTTGATTATAAAAGAGCCATTATTAATGTTAAGTGCTATGTTATTGGATTCACACATTAAACATAGATGGAGTTGCACAAACAAAGCTGTGTCCATGCGTCTACTTTACCCACAGCCCTACAGCACGCAGAGTTAAACCTCTGCCTCACAATATAAAGGTGTCTGCTCACCTCTGTCTCCTCCTCTGATGCCTCTTCAGCAGCCACAGGAGCTGCGGGGGCAACGTCAGCCGGCGGAGGTGGTGCAGCATCAGCCTGCATCAATAAAACTCATTTAGCTCCTATTGAATTGTGACAGATTGGCTACTGTAGTGTAAAGTAGTGTTGTGCTCACCACTGCAGCCACTGCTGGATCAGCCTAAACAATACATGACACACGCACTTCAGTGACTATGACAGAGCTACGTTTGTGTCAAACTTTATGACATGAGTCTTTATTCCTGAGTCTAATAACATTAATAAACTTACAGGAGCATCAGCAGCAGGAAGGAAGGGGTTTCCAACTACTCCCTGGAAAATACACATTCATGATTAATGCCAAACTAACTAGATTGAAAAGCAGATGTTTTATTTTATTTTAAACTTCTATCTTTTCTTTATTTTCATTTTTCTTTTTCTTTTAGTGATACTGGTGAATCCCTTCTACCTGCTGCTGGTACAGCCTGTACATCTCCATCCACCTGAGGGCCTCATTAGCATGCGCTGCAACCTGCTGAAGAAATACCAGACGTCTCCAGACATGCTCGTGCAATTAAGCCAATTATTTGCTCTCTGTCAGACACCCATCACACTGTGCATTCGATGACATGACAAAAACATGGCATGACATGCCATTGCAGACAGACGCACACAAAACATTTCAGAAACGAAGTTAGATGATCTCTTACCTCATTGCTTTCACTCCCTGGAACCTGTGGATTCAGAGGGGGTGGAGAGAAAACAGTGTTGTGTGATAATCTAACAGAAAAGTGTTTTTGTTTTCAGTGTTGTGTGTAGGTTAAATATTGAAAAATTGATCAGTCAGCAAATAGAAAGGAGGAAAGACTTACAGGGGCTGCCAAGCTAGTGGCCAGCAGGCACAACATTAACACCAGCAGCTTCATCATGAATCAGTCTAGACAAAAACATATAATAGCTTATTTTTTGCTCTAATAGGGGTCTAGAAAGTGATCCAGCCCCGTGGCCGACTGGATGTTTGGCTGGATGTAAGCCAAGACAGCAGCTCCCA